AATTAATTAAAACCGTTTCAATATTTCAAGAAAAATTACTTTAAGATTTTGAGAGTATTACAGATGCAGTCATCATACTTTATACTTAAGAATGTAGTTGCCGACATTGTTTGTTTCGCATCGTTCAGTAGTTAGTGTTGTAAATCATTTTCATAGGTAACTTCATTTACAATTAGGGTTGATAGCAGTTTTCTCTATCTTCGTTAAGTGTTTTTATGTCATATAGGTTATGTTTTTGACAGAGATGCACCACTACTTTTGGAATTGCGAATCGAAAAAGATACAAGCAAACTATTAGCACGAGCATGTTATTTCGAAAATTGATCAAACGCTAGTCTCATTCATTTATTCACATTGATTTGATCGGAATTTTCAATCAATATGATGATGCCATCAGAGAATATATACTGCTTGAGTTTTTTTTTCTCGTCTTTAATTATTAGAATATGAAATCAACAGACATTGTTGTCTGTTTCTATTCGTAAAAAATCCCAAGTTTTCATTTATCGGGTGGCAGTTATAACCTGCTCTGACATCCACGGTCGTTGCATATGGAGGTTTTGAAGCAGCTGATATGGTAACAACAGAAAAGTACATAAGCTTGGCAGACGCCTGGTCGGTAAGTGGTTTTAGCTCTATTTTCTCAGAGAACTTGCCTAAATTAGTCCCTTTTTGGAGATCAAAATAATTCAAAATTTTATCAATAGATTTATCGAATATTCTAATAAATATATTAATTTTCTATCAATGTTTCCTATTTTCTTCTATCGTATTATTCACCAAACAGAGCCTGTTCCTCATCAATCAATATTTACTTGAAAAAAAACTATATAACTTGTATATATAAAATCGTTTATTTGTGTAGATCAATGAATCATTCGTGAATATTTATCTCATGGAACATGGCTTTTTTCTCTTAGGGAGTTATATATATATATTAATATTGAAAAAAAAATACAGAAAAAAAAGATAAACAAAAGCCACTATTGAAACGATTATATTTTATTACTCTCCCCATAATATTGCTCGTCTTTGTTTTTCGCATGAAGCAATTAATCGCCCTTCAGGATGCCAAGCAACAGCATTAACAATTGAGCTAAAATAAAAAAAATACGAATCCTAAGAAGAACTCAATGAATTATTTCACACAAATAGCAATAGAAATAGATGAATACAAAGAGAATTAATTAATCTTAACCAATTGTTTTAAATTTATTTTCTCTTCCGTTAATGAACGAAATAAATTTGAAACAGAGCAAAATGAAAACACAGTAGTACCTTGTTTGAAACATCTGAAATAGTTTAAGACTTCTATAAATTCGATGAGGATGGGATAATCTGATCTTTTCTATTTATTATTGAGTGATTCTCAAATGAATTACTTACGAATGTTCTTTGTTAAGAACTTTTTCAATTTTGCCTGTTGTTGTATTCCAAATAAATACTGTTCCATCATTGCCACCAGCACATGCATAAGTAGAATCAGGTGAAAGAACAGCTTTTACCGTGTCCGATGCCACTTTAAAATCATCATGACTAAAATATATATTTATTTCAATCCATAATGTATTCAACAAAAAAACCAAATTATGTTATGAAATGGAAGAGTTTTTACACTTTCTAGACACTTATTTATAAGCGAGTTGCGGCATTTGAGTGACTATTACTTGTTTAACTTAGTGTTTTATTTTACAATGTAGCAGTAGAGGGCATCGTGCTTGTTGGAAAAGCGCGTTGATTCTCTAGAACTTAGTGATTGTTGTATCACATACTATATATATCTATGGTCTCAAAAATGGATGTTCGCTCTCTCGAATTTGTAAATTACTCCTCTGGAAGAGAAAATCCGAAAAGAAATTATCTTAATATTTCTTTGAAATTAACTAAGATTAGTTCATCATTCGATTTAATTCATAGAACTAAATCCTTATAAAATTACATAACAATCAAGCTGGAAATGTCACCATGAAATTCAACTCATTAATAGAACTTTTATTCACCAGAATTAATACTGACTTGGAGTGACTCACAAGACTAGATATGAGGGTGTAAGTGTCGGTTGTGGTTGTAGGTGAGTGTAAGTTTGTTGTTGTCAATATCCTTACGAAGATCATCTACACTCACACAAGCACTTCACTCAAATAGTGGTTAGATCGAAATAAAAAAAAGTGCATTTTATTAATCACGTTTATGAAACGTGGAAAAAAAATTTTCAAGCTTAGTATTATGTACATCTTGCTTGATCTGGAAGAAACCACACAATTTTTATTGATTTCGTGATTGACTCTGTTCTGAACTATTTTCATTCGAGAAATTTAATTAATATAGAAATACAAAGTTGATATACAATAGATGAAAAAACATCACATATGAAAATTCTTTTTTTCATGTGTCTTTATAGATAGACTAGAATAACCAAGGACGGATGTAAAACTTTTCTTGGCCCTCGATATCAGCTCACCATTTTTCGATATTTTGTTAAAACACATCAAGGGATTCCAGAGAAGACTTTCAGTATGGAACTTTTTGATCGACATCATACCTTTAGAAATTACATTTTATTGTAATCCTAATGACTGTCTAGGAAGAAATTGAGTAACAACAAGTAAGATAACAACTATTGTTTCATCTTTTCAGCAAAATTTAATAGCGGATTTTCAGC